TTTTGACGTCGGAGTTCTCGCTCTGGGCCCAGGCTGGTACGTGCGAGTTGGGCTCCCCTCCTTAATCTGGTCTCATGCACTCCGTCTCCTCTGTGTTCACACTCATTTCTTCCTGCTTCAGTCGTTGCGCTGTTTACCGATGGAGCTGGGGACTAACAGGTGCACATCCACCCATTTGTCTTAGGCTAGTTTTTGTGATGTTTGATGAGAGCAGGTGTACACTGTGTTTATGGCCAGGGAGTGGTGCTCGATCGGGGGACTCCGGATGGATACGCCAATCTCAGTCCCCCATACAGGGTATGGATTATATGGTTGTTTGAGGCACTCAGCTGGCGACAACATAAACAGGTTGTTAATTGTTGAGCAAGTGACTCCCACTTTGCAGCTCCATTATATTTTTTCCCTATCGATAGGTGTAGGTTCGTATTTTTTTATTTATTGTTTTTGAAATGGGTCACAGCTGTTATAGTCAATATTTATCCTTGCAAGCTTCCTGTCCACCATGTCTTTGCTTATCCCTAATCCCCGTATCTTGTCTTCTCGTGTGACCAAATAATCTTTCTGAGGTTCCCCTCTGCTTCCCATTCTACATCTCGAAGGACAGAATCATGGAGGTGCATAGGGGTCTGGACAGTTGAACGTTCACAGTGTGAATGTGACACATGACCTCAGCTAAGCTTCCTCATCCTTGTCTCCTGACAAACGTGGGAAACTAAGAGAATTTAGGGCATGGCTTCTCAACTCTAGCACAGCTGACACTGGGGACTGGATAATTCTTTGGTGTGGGGGTCACTCCTGTGCATCATAGGATGTTTAGCAGCGCCCATGGGTTCTACTCTTTACACACTAGTCACATTCTCTATTCCCAATTTTTTTTTGTTTTTTTTTCTTTGAGACAGTCTCTCTTTGTCGCCCAGCCTGGAGTGCAATGGCACAGTTTTGGCTCACTGCAACCTCCGCCTCCCGGGTTCAAGTGATTCTCCTGCCTCAGCCTCCTGAGTAGCTGAGACTACAGGCACCCGCCACCATGCCCAGCTAATTTTTGTATTTGAATTGCTGGATTATGTGTTATTTCAGTTCTGCTTAACCGACCACCTGGTCTTGCTCTCTCCATCCCCACCCAGTCCTCCACCTTCCCCAAATGGGTGACCAAGACCGGAAGAGGGAGACAGCCCTTGAGATCCTAGACCTGTGGAAGGCCATCGGTGAGTGAACGGGGAGTTAGACGTCTTCTCCCGCATCCTCCCCTGCCGGCTCTCTCCTGGCTTTGGAAACTGGGAGATGTGAACTCCAGCCCTCCCCCTGCCGCTTACTATTTGGGGAGCCCTGAGCAAGTGATGCATTTCTTTCAAGCTTCTGTGCCGTCACCTGGAGCCCCAGATTGGTTTAATGTTCTTTTGTTACCAAGTTAAGATTCTGAATCCTGTCTGAACCACGGGCCCCTTATTTTCCCTTTGCATTGGACCGCACAAAATTCCTCCACGTGGAAATGACATAAATGGAATAATCTCATGATTTAGTTGTATGACTCAGCGAGAAAATGCACATGAATTTCCTAGAAGTGTCTGGCATATGGTGGAAATGAAATGGGTCAGCCGGGCGCGGTGGCTCACGCCTGTCATCCCAGCACTTTGGGAGGCCGAGGCAGGTGAATCGCCGGCCATCGCGAGCGCCAGCGACGCCCTGCTCTCGAGCTTGCTGCACACTAAAAGAACTATACCATCCAGTCCGCCAGTGATCAGCTGCGCTAGAGTTGAGAAAAGCCATGCCTAAAATATCTGCCTTAAGTTTCCCCACTTTGTTCAGGCGACAAGGGATCGAGGGAAGCTTACGCTGAGTCATGTGTCACATTCACACCGGTGAACGCTTCAAATCTGTCCGCACCTCCCTGATCACCCTCACATCGATCTCTGTCCTCTCGACGATGCATACTAAGCATTGGGAGCAGAGGGAACTCACAGAAAGTATCTGATTTGGTTGCAGCACGAGAAGCACCACAGACGCTACCCCGGTGCATTAGGGACTACCACGCAAACACGACATGGGTGGACACGGAAGCTCGCAAGGATAAATCACTCTCGACATCACCACAGCTGTGACGCCATTCATTTCTTTCTTTTTTTTTTTTTTCTTTTTTTTTTTCCTTTTTGAGATGTGAGCCCTCTCGTTGCCTCAGGCTGGACGCGAGAGGACGCCATCTTAGCTCATCTCAGCTCACTGCAGACCGTCTGCCTCCCCGGTTTCAAGTGAATTCTCACTGCCTCAGGCTCCCGGAGTAGCGGGCACTCACACTCGCGCTGCATCACATCAGCTGATACTGTGTATTTTCAGTGGCAGACGCGGGTTTCACCACGCTCCCCACCCCCGCGCCTTGAAACTCCTGACCTCAGTGACTTCACG